GTCGGGGCGGGGGAGTTGTATGGTCAGCCCAGCGTGTCGCCGCTGCAGCCCCAGCGACACGCTGTGCCCTGCGAGCGGATAGCGTGCCGCTCCGCTCCGCGGGGCGAGGAGGGTGTGACAAGCTCGGGACGTTGGCGCTTAGGAGCTGGAAGTGGATAGTGTGTCGCGCCGACGCGTGGTGGGCCAGAACCGTCGGTGCGACACCCGAACTAAGTTTCCGACGGCAGGGGCCTCCCCCTCCAGCACGCGAGATCCAAGATGCCCTCCGTCGATCGGGCGTTTGGCCACCCTTCGGGCCGCCAGGCCGCTCGTCTCTTGCTCCTCTTCCTGCTCCCCCTCCCCATCTCTGCCTCCCTCTTCTTTTCCTCGTCCTCCTCCTCATCCTTATTCCTCCTCTTCGTCTTCCTCCCTCCTCCTCCTTTTCCTCGTCATCATTATCTTCCTCTTCCTGCTACTCCCTCGTGCTGTTCCTCCTCCTCCTCAGCATCATCATCATGTTTACAAGCAGCAGCTCTAGCACCATCACAAGCACCGGCACCAGCACCATGCTCATGGCCATGACTATGACCATGACCACCACAGTCACCATCATCATCATTATCATCATCATCATCATCACCATCATCATCATCATCATCATCATCATCATCATCACCAACAATACCATCACCATCACCATCACCATCACCGCCACCATCGCCATCACCATCATCATCGTCCTCATCATTACCATCGTCCTCATCATCTTCCTCCTCCTCATCATCGTCGTCATCACTACCACCATCGTTATCACCATCATCATCATATCACCATCAGCTTTACCACCATCATCACCGTCATCATCGCCACCATCATTACCATCACCATCACCATCACCAGCATCATCACCATTGGCATCGCAATCGTTATCATCGGCATCAGCAACATCATCAACGTCATCATCATCATCATCAGCATCATCATCGGACTCATCGTCATCATCGCCATCATCGCCATCATCATCATCATCATCATCATCATCATCATCATCATCATCACCACCACCATCATTATCATCCTCATCATCATGATCTTATGTTTCCTTCCCATCTCCCCTCCCCCTCCTCATCCGTCTCGTCTGCTCGAAATGGTCTTTTAGCGCACACGCGATAGACGTCGTCTCTCCTGCCTCATGTCGAAGAGTTCTCCTCCATCTCCTACGCCTCCACATCTTCCTCCTCTTGCTCCTCGTCCTCCTCCTCCTCCTCCTTCACTCTCGCCTTCCCTCCCCCGGTCCCTGCCCAACCCCCTCCTCCACTCCCCCCCTCCACCTCCTCCGGCAACTCCTCCTCCTCCTCCTCCTCCTCCTCCTCCTCCTCCTCCTCCTCCTCCTCCTCCTCCCCTCCCCATTTCCCCTTCCCCGTCCTCGCTTCCGTCCGTCCTTGCTTGCTTGCTCTCTTCCTTCCCTTCCTTCCTTCGCGCTCTTCGGACGTCGCGTGCCGTGGCGGGTCGCGCCCCCCCCCGCGCCAGGCCACGCGGACGGGGGTCTAACCACTCGCCCGCGGCCCATACACGATGCCGCCTGCGAAGGTGCCTCCCCCGTGGCCGGGGGGGGGGCCACGGCGTGGGCTGCCCGGCCTGCGGGCGCCCGTGCACGGCGCCCTATGGCGCCGAGGGGGAGGGTGGCCCCCTGCCATGCTTGGGCGCCCGAGTTATCCGGGGTAGCTCGGATCGGGGGTAGCTCGGGCTCGGCATCCCGAAAAGCGAACCCGAGTGCGCCCTGACCCGAGTTACCCCTGATGGTTCGGGGCTCTGGACGCCCGACTGATCCGGGGTAGCTCGGGCCCCGGGCTAACTCGGGGTCGGCATCCCGAAAAACGAACCCGAGTTAGCCCTGACACGACTTACCCCTGATGATTCGGGGCTCTGGACGCCCGAATTATCCGGCGTTGCTCGGGTCCGAGGTAACTCGGGTTCGGAATCCCGAGAAGCGAACCCGAGTGCGCCCTGACCCGAGCTACCCCTGGTGATTTGGGGCTCTGGACGCCCGAATTATCCGGGGTAACTCGGGTCTGGGTGAAACTCGGGGTCGGCATCCCGAAAAACGAACCCGAGTTAGCCCTGACACGACTTACCCCTGATGGTTTGGGGCTCTGGACGCCCGACTTGTCCGGGGTAACTCGGGTACAGGGTAACTCGGGGTTCGGAATCCCGAACAAACAAACCCGAGTTAGCCCTGACACGAATTACCCCTGATGATTTGGGGCTCTGGACGCCCGAATTCTCCGGCTTGGGTCTAGGGTCACTCGGGGTTCGGAATCCCGGAAGACAAACCCGAGTTTGAGTATCGTTTAACCGATCCCCATCTCCAGCGGCGTGGCCTGGGCCCCACTGGACGATTTACCCCCCCTAGATAAGGATATAGGCCGTTCCCTTCGGGTTTAGCACATTCGCTTCTTGGCCTTTCGCGAGGTCCACAGCAACCCCAGAAGCCCCCAAATCAATTCAAGGAAACCCCATATGCCTCCAAGAGGGCTCCCAGACGGACCAAAAGGACCCCAAGAGGGCCCCCGCAGCCACCGAGGAGGCCCCAGGACGGCCCCAAAGGGCTCCCCCGACGGCCCCAATGGGCTACGACTCGTGAAGAGATCGCTCCAATAGGCCCGACATTGCCTCCGGACGGGCCCGGAGGCCCTCTGCACGCCCATGCACAGACCATCCCTGAGATATAAGCATAGCTCCTCCTCCACCCTCCTCCTCCTCCTCCTCCTCCTCCTCCTCCTCCTCCTCGCAACCTTGAAGCTTCGGACACGTTTGCGTCCATGCCCTCGTCCTCATCCTGCTCCTGCCCTGAGCTCCAAGCGTTGCAATGTTGTTCACACTAGGCGGTTGCGCTTGGACTCGGGTCCCGAGGTCTGCCGACCCCCTGGGACCAAGGCGTGTGAGATGCTTCCCCCTCCCCAGACGTCTCCCCCGGGAGCCGGGTCGGCTGGTTCGAAGGTGCCGGCCGCACACTTCGAACCTGAAGGGGCCCCAAAACGAGCCAAAAAGGTCCAAAAGGCTCCCGGAACGGTCCAAGAGAGCTACGAATCGACGAGGGTCCACAGCGCCGAGGATTGCCTCCAGACGGCCCCAGAAGCCCCCAAGACGCCCCAAGAAGCCACACAGACGCCCTCCAGAAACAAAAATCGTCACATCCCTACGGACAAAACATATATTTTAAACGCACTCGCCTCTTGGCCTTTCACGAGGCCCTCAACGGCCCAAGCAGCCTCCAAAAGCGCCCCCAAATCATCCAAGAGGCCCCCAAGAAGGCTCCAAAACGGCCAGCGAGGGCCCCGCGAACGCCCCAGAAACAACCGCAACGGCCCAGGAGAGCCGCAGGACGGCCTCAAGAGGGCCCCGAAGTGGGCCAAGAGGGCCCCCATCCCCAAATGCCTCCCGGACGGCCCACGAGGGCTACAAGTCGTCGAGAGATCGCTCCAAGACGCTCCAAATTGCCGCCCGGCGGTCCTACAGGCCCCCACGACGCCCCAAGCAACCACTTGGAGACGTCCCAAGAGGCTTTCCAAAAGCAAAGAGCGTTTCACATTCTATGGGCAACATACATTTCCAGCACGTTCGCCTCGTCGGCTTTCACGAGGCCCACAACAGCCCAAGAAACCTTCCATATCGACCCACTACGACCCAGAAAACCCTCCCAAAAGGACTCCGACTCAGCCCACATGGGCGCCAAGAAGCTCCAGAAGCCACCAAACCGACCCAGGACGGCCCCAGAACGGCCCCCCAAAAATCCCCAAATGGGTCCCGCAAGGCTCCCCCGACGGCTCCAGAGAGCGAGTTGCGACTTGTGAGGAGATCGCTCCCGGACGCCCGCCATTGCCGCCAGCTGACCCCTGAAGCTCCCTAGACGCCCCAACGCGCCACCAAGACGCGTCCCAAGAGGCCCGGCAAATCCAAACCTCGGCCCCTTCCCGAAGGGAGACCTCTAAGTTTAACACATTCGCTTCTTGAGTTTTCCGAGTTTCACAACATCCGAAAAAAACACAAATCATCCCGCAAGCCCCCGCATGCCCCCGAGAAGGCTCCCAGGCGGCACAAACGGGCCCCACGAGGGCCCCCGAAGCCACCAGGGAAAGCCCCAGGACGGCCCCAAGAGGAAGGTAAGAAGGGAAACCCGAATGGAGAATTCCAGTACTTCGCCCCGAGAAAACATGAAAGGGCGCCCAAGTGCACCCAAGAGGCCCTGACGGGGATCCGCAATGCCCCCGAACGACCCCGGGACCCGGGGGCGGCCCCTCGACGACGAAAACAACGAACAAAAATGAAAAGACTTACTCCAGATTTCGTAATAAAAGGGAGGGGGTCTGGACCCTCCAAGACAAGCCATTTCAGACCCCCCCCGTGGGAGAACATTCCAAAACATCGTCCCCAGACCCCCCCAGGCCCTCCAAGATGGCCTGGAAGAGACCCCCCCCCGAAATGAGACCCCCCTCCCTTTATTACGAAATCTGGAGTAGACTCTGCAGCGAGACTCTTCTCTTTTACCCACGCAGACATCGTTCACCACGGGCCCCCCGGACCCTTCCCGGGATCCAATCGCAATCGTTTTCCCCAATGCATCCCGCCGCGGCGGCCGGGGAGGGGCCCGGACCCTCCCCAACCGCAACAAACCTCCCGAGGCCGACGGGCTACTTCGCACAAATTCGGGGATGACAGACCTCCCTTTAGTAAAACGTGGTTTAGTGAAAACGACCTGAGGACCAAATCTGGCGGGCGCAAGCCTGGAAATTAACGGCCGCGGCGCCCTCTCGAGAACCGAAAACGGACAATTCACTAATCGACGTGTCACTGTTGGGGGTTCTGTCCACCCCCGACAAATTCGTTCCCCGAACCTCTCCCCCGGGTCCCCTGGTGTTATTTCTCGCCCCGGGCCCGTCCGGCTCTGAAAGTCCCCAGGGGCCCAGCGACGGCCCCCGGAGACCGAAACCCATCAAAAAAACAGAAGCTGCTCATACACAGATATCCGGGAAGGCGGCCAGAAGTGCCCGGGCATCTACCTCGATCGAGAAGGAGAATAATAAGAAGAACAAGAAGAAGAAACATATTAATAATAAGAAAAATAAGAACAGGAGGAGGACTAGGAGGAAGAGGAAAAAAAGAACAATGATTTCGTTGTCGCCGCCGATGTCTCACATATTTTCGCGGTCGTTCGACCACCCGAGGCATCTCCTCGAACTCAGCCTCCAAGAACCGTTTTCGGTGCCCAGGACCACCACCGAGGGTCCGGCATGTGGATCGACCTCCCTGGCCGGCGCCACCCCTTCGCAAAGGAAGGACCACGGGGTGGATCGAGGCTCGAGGCATGAGTCTCCTATTTCTTCGGCGCTCTCCGCCCCTTTGGGCCTTCTGGAAGCTCCTCGTCGACACAGCAGGGTCCACTCTCGAACTTCTGGCCGGACGCACCCTCAGCTGGGTCTCAACGACCCCCGAGCCAATCCAGGGGTTGGAAAAGGAGGCCTGGGACAGGCCCCGTGAAGGCCCCAAGAAACCCACAGAATACCACGAAAAACTCCAAACCAATCCCCTAGAAGGCTCCCCCCTGAACCCCACACGCTACGTAAGACAAGCCGAAACCCCAAGATTGCCCAGCGATCGCGTGCGTTTCTCGAACTTCGTCTTTCACTCTTGCTGCCGCCCCAAGGGGTCGGCGCTGCGACGTAAGCCAATGAATAATAAGAAATCGTCCCCAGGCTAATTTCGATGTTTGTTTAAATACTTCTCCTGTGGAGGGACGCACCCGAACCCGAGGAAGTCTGGGGACGTTCCCCTTCGTTTGTCGACGGCCTCCTGGGGCCCGGTATACAGGGCCCCCGAGGGCCGAACTCTCGGCGAAAAACCTTTCTCCTCGGGCCTCTGTGCCTTGCTCCGAGGAAGTCTGGGGACGCTGCCCGGGAGGGTTTCTCCGAAGGGCTTAGGCGACCCGTCCTCCTCCCTGCTCCTCCTCCTCCTCCTCCTCCTCCTCCTCCTCCTCCCTCCTCCCTAATGCTCCTCCTCCTCCTCCTCCTCCTCCTCCTCTCTCCTCCTCCTCCTCCTCCTCCTGCTCCTCCTCCTCCCTCCTCCTCCTCCTCCTCCTCCTCCTCCTCCTCCTCCTCCTCCTCCTCCTCCTCCTCGGGTCGCTCACGGCCCCGGGGGAAACCGTGCACGCTGCCCCCCGAGGGGGCGAGGGCCAGCGCGGCGCGGCCGCCTGGTCACGGGCGTGCGAGCACTGGGCGGCGAGCTCGGCGTTCTCGCGCCGCAGCCGCTGCACCTCGCTCACGTCCTCTCGGGGGATATGCTGGCCCGGGGTCAGTTCGCCTCACGGGTCCCTCGTCCTCAAAACGACGCGAAGATCGGGACAACATCGGATCGGGAGAGCTCGAGATCTCGGAGAGTCGGCGGGTTCGGAGGACGCATTGGGCGCCGCGGCCGCTCTCAGAGCGTTCCAGAGCGCTCTGGGAGCGCTCCGGAACGCTCTGCAGCGATTTATCCCGATCCTAGCCCTGTCTTAGTCCTCTACGTCCTGGCCTGGGTCTCGGGCCCCCTCGTCCTGCTCGTCTCTGCTGGCCCGAGTCTATACGTCCTCACGTCTCTCGGGTGTCTCTCGTCCCCTGCGTCCTCACGTCTCTCTCGGGCCTCCCAGATGGGGTCCGAGCAGATGGGGTCGAAGGATCGCGCCGCATCGCCAATGCATCGCCGGATGCATCGCCGATGTGTCGGCGATGGATCGGCGGTGCATCGGCGACGTCGGCGATGCATCGACGAGGTCGGCGTGGGGAAGCACGGGCTCCACATCGAGCCGCACCGCCGATGCATCGGGGATGCGGCGCGATCCTCCGACCCCCGTCTGCTCCGACGCCATCTAGGAAGCCGAGATCAATTCAGACCCGGGCCAGTCGGGCTTTGCAGGATCCCGCGAGATCCTGCAGGATCCTGCGCGCCAGCGCGGGTCAATGCACCACAGGCTCTGCAGGATCCTGCAAGATCTGGCGCTCTGGCTGACCCCCGTTTGCATTCCCAGACATGCGACTTCCGGAATTTTTCAGGACGGCGTCCCTGGAAGTCCCGACCCTTTCCCGGAGACCGGTGTTTCATCCTGAGTCGTTTTTTGGCGGTCCCGAGGCCCAGCGAGGGCCCCCAGGAGCCGAAAACAGCAAAAAACTCTCGTCCGGATTTTTTTTTACGACGCGATCATGTCTGGGTTGAATCCAAACATACACCGAAATAATCAAAAACAGTACAAAGAGCGTCCCGAGAATATTTGTGATTCTGTTTAACTATTCCTCCTGTAGAGGGACAGGCCCGACTTAAAGGGGAGACGAGCGCGCACATCTCGTGCCCCGCCTGGGCCTCAGTGGGCCCCTTTGGGGGACGAGGAGCGCACCGTCGTTATCCCCCACGTAGTGCCCCCCCCCAATAAGAAGAGACGAATCCAGGACGAGGATAACATCGGGCGAGGATAAATCGAGAATCTCTGCGATCTGACGGTTCTGGAGGGTGTCTCGGGCGCCGCGGCCTTCTGAGAGCGTTCCAGGAGCGCTCTAAGACATTGAGAGCGTCCCAGAACGCTCTGGGACGATCTATCCTCGTCCTAGCCCTGCCAAGCCTTGCGCAACGCCCGAAGTTTTGAGCCTTGCTCGGCCTCCAGGGGCAGCCCTCGCCGGGCCCTGGGGCCGTCGCAACACGACTCGGGAGGAAACGCCTGGTCCCGGGGAGTAAGTCTGGACCTCCAGGGAGCCACGCTGTGGCACACGTCGCGACAACGCGAGGTCTGGGCAGTCGAGGCAACGGAGTCAGGGGTCTGAAGGGGCCCCGGGACACACAAATAAATCTACACAAAGAAAAAGACGCCCCATCTTTTCCCATATGTTCTGGGTTTCTGGCTTCCCCCCAACTTCCCATATTTTCCCATATTTTCTGGGGAATCGAGGATTCATGGTGCCTGTGTGTTTCTTTTCCTCCCGAGGGTTGGGTGAGGACGACCGCCGGCGAGAACAGCGGCGGAGGATGGGCACCGGGATGGATCGGGGTCCCGCTTCTGCGAGGATGTGGGCCGGGAGGGCGGGAGAGCCGCGGCTACCTCAACCGGCCCTCCTCCTCCGACATGTTTTGGCGGGTTCTGGGACAGTCAAAGGGCCCGAGGGAGGGGTCGAGAGGTTGGGGGGCCCCACGCATCGAACGCCTCGGAGCGCAAGGCGTGTAGGGAGATAGCTCAGGAGTGGAGGGGGAGAGAGATCCGAAGGGGAAGGGGAAGGGGAAGGAAGGGGGAGAGGGGGGGAGGAAGCCACCGCTCGGGGTGGCCTCTGCCGTCGCCGCCGCCCCGAGCTCCTGCAGCAACGATCCGACGTCTGCCTGGACGCTGGCGGCTCCAGCGCCCCCAGGAGCAGAGTCGGGCGTGGGCAGAACTGGGTTCCGTGGGACCTGGTTCAGGGATGTGCACTGGGGGACGTCCCCCCCGCCCCGTTCCACTAACCGGAACTGCCGTCACCCGAAAAACATTAGCTACGGCAGATCTGGCTTAGTGATTCTGGCCAATTGAAAGGCTCCAGGGCCCGACTACTCACCGGGTCCCCTTACCTGGGGTCCTGGCTATACTCGACGGAAACGGCTTCGGCAGGAAGATCGGCGCTGGCACGAGGCGCGCCTTAACGATCTCGGCCCGATCCCCGCCGCTAAGCAGAGCGGCCGGGCTGCCGCCTCCTCCCCCTCCGCCTCCTCCGCCTCCTCCTCCTCCTCCTCCTCCTCCTCCTCCTCCTGCTGACGGGGCCGGCTTGCTGCACGCCGCTGCCCTCCGCGCCCGGAGCCTCTGCGGCCACGCCGGCAGCAGGGGCCGGCTGCTCCCCTGGCGGCGCCGCATCCGCCGCCACCGCATCGAGGGCAGCCCTCCCCCGCAGGGGCCCCGAGGGCGCCGAAGTTCGGCGCCGCTCGGCGCCCGAGCACCCGGCGCGAAGAGCACAGCGTGGCGCTCGACGTTTCGGCGAACGCTCGCAGCAGCCGCCCAGAAGCCCGCCTCGCCCGCGCGGCTGCACTGCGCCCCTGCGCTCGGCGGCTGCCCGGTTCGGCCAGCGCGCGAGGCCGCCGCGCCAGGACCGGCTCCGTGCCGTCGCGGCGAGGGGGGAGGGGCGGCGCGAAAGGAGGGCGAGGGCGGCGCTGGGGCGCCCGTGGCGCGGGCTCGCAGAGCCCGCGGGCTCGGGCCGGGCTGGCGCTAGGAGGAGGAGGAGGAGGAGGAGGAGGAGGAGGAGGAGGAGGGAGGAGGAGGAGGAGGAGGAGGAGGTTCCCGAGCGATGGAACGCGAGTCTGAAGTACAGACCCGCGCCAGCAGAAGCCGCGCGCCACCGCGGCCGGCGGGCGGCCTCGCGCGGGCGCGCGGCCGGCCGCGGGGCGCTCACGGCGCGGGCGGCGCACGGCGCCCGCCACGACACGACACGACGCGACACGACAGGGGGACGAAACGAACGACGCGACACGAAGACACGACACGGACGAACGACACGACAGAGACGAGCCGCCGGTCCCGCCCCAGGGCGGCGAACGCTGGGGGGAACCAGCACCGCCCTGGGGGAGGCCACGGGACCTGGCGACCCCCCCGGGGGAAGGAAACCGCACTTTGGCGGCGTCCCCCGGAGTGCGGGGGCTTTTCGCCCCTCGGGCCCGGCGCTCCCCGCCTGCGCCAGGAGGACCCTAGGGTCCCGACCCCTCCCCCTACGGGAGGGGCCCCCTCGGGGCGAGGAGGAGGAGGAGGAGGAGGAGGAGGAGGAGGAAGAGGAGGAGGAGGAGAGGGAGGAGGAGGCGGAGGAGGAGGAGAGGAGGAGGAGGAGGGGAGGAGGAGAGGAGGAGGAGGAGGGGAGGAGGAGGAGGGGGCGGAGGAGAAGGGCGACGTTTTTTTGTTTGGGGGGGAGGGGGGGAGGAGGCGCAGCAGTGGAAGGCGGAGGGTGGAGGAAGGGGGCGGAGGACGGGGGAGGATGGTGGAGGAGGATGGAGGGCGGCGGCGGCGCGTCCCTCGGCGTGACGCGCACCAGCGCCACCTCCTCGCGGTCGGGTACGGCGGAGGAGCACGGCTCGAGTGTCGGGGGGGCGCTCTCTCTCTCTCTCTCTTTCTCTCTCTCTCTCTCTCTCGCTGGGGGGTGGGGAAGCGGAAGGGATGGAGCAAGGAGCGAGGCGCGAGGAGAGATGATGCTGCTGCTGCTGCTGATGATGCTAATGATGGAGATGATGCTGCTGCTGATGATGATGTTGATGCTGCTGCTGCTGATGCTGAGATTGACGATGTTGATGGTGATGATGACGTTGATGATGTGGATGTTGATGTCGTTGTTGCTGTTCTTGATGATGCTAATGCTGGCGATGATGATGATGATGATGATGAGGATGATGATGATGATGATGGTGATGAGGATGATGAGGCGGAAGAGGCTGATGAGAAATATCAGGATCATGATGATGCTGCTGATGATGATAAAGATGATGATGATGATGTTGATGCTGGTACCGATGCCAATGCCGAAGAAGATGTCGATGCTGCTGATGATGAGGATGTTCATGATGATGATGCTGATGATGCTGGTGATGATGATGATCATGATGATGTCGGTGATGATGCTGATGCTGGCGATGACGGTGATGATGATGAGGAGGCGAAGGAGTCCGAGGCAGAGGAATAGGAGGAGCATGATGATAAGGTTGATGATGACGACGATGATGATGCTGATGCTGATGTCGATGCCGATGATGATGGTGATGATGATGGTGCGGACCATGATGTGGATGCTAATGATGACGACGACGATGATGATGATGATGATGATGATGATGATGATGGTCCTGGTGGTGATGATGATGCTGATGATGGTGATGAGGATTTTGAGGAGGCGGATGAGGCTGAAGCGGAGGAATCGGATAATCATGATGTTGCTGATGATGACAACGATGATGATGCTGATGTTGATGTCGATGCAGATGAGACCGATGATGAAAACGAAGGTGATGCTGATGACGATGCTGATGCTGCTCATGATGATGACGATGACGACGATGATGATGCTGGCAATGATAGTGATGCTACTGATGCTGATGATGATGTTGGTCATGGTAGTGACGTAACTGATGATGATGACGCGCACGTAGATGTCCTACGGAGGGATGGTGATGAGGATGAGGGAGGAGGTTGATGATGAAAAGCATGAACATACGACCTCATGATGAGGGCTTGCTTGCTGCCTGCGTGGACGAAGGGGGAACTCTTGAACCGACCGTCGTCACTGCACATGTCGGGCTCACCATTTTGGCACGCGTCGCGGCGCCCAGCTACTTGATTAGGCGGGCTCTGGTTGGCAGACGGGCGATACATTTCGTAGAGGGTAGGGGTTGGAAATGGAGGATGGGGTAGAAGGAAGGATATGCGACATGCGGAATATTTGGAGAAGAAAAGGGGAAAGGAACCGGTGATTACCGAGACGCGGGTCAGGAATGGACAGGTGGAGGAGGTTGAGGCGGAACGAGGGGAATGAGAGTAGAACAGGATTCGAAGCACGAGCAAACGACCGAATGGCAAACCGCATCTCCTCCACAAGTGCCTTTCTTTTCAACGCCGCCCTTACCTTCGATTCCCCAGATGACAAGCAAACAAACCCCAATATAAACATGAATTTGAGTGGAAGCAGGGGGATCGTAGACACGGACCGGACTCCGCAGGAGGACAACAATGTCTTGACCTGACCTCTGCATGGTTACCTTAAACTCATTGTTGTTGCAACTTCTCCCTCTCCTCTCCACTGAGCCCATTACCATCTATGGTCGTTGATCACTCGTCACTCTCCTCCTCCATCCCTCCCTCGGTCCTCCCCATGTGGCTTCAATTCGTGCTCGTTGCCATCATCATGACCATCGACACCATCACCATCATCATAAACATGCTCATTACCGCCACCACCATCTTCAAAAAACGACGTTGCGCTTACCACCTCAATCGCCATCTTCGTTGCAACCCACATCGTCACCCTCTCAACCCCGTTCCGTAATAATTCTCGACGCCCCCCGCACAATGCTTCTCCTATCCTTGCGCGAAGAGGTGGCGGTCCCTGGGGAAATCCACCCTCGTGCCTAACACCCACACTGCTCTTGCTCTCTGCGTCAGAAGGTTCCCAGGTACCGCGACGACGAGGGAGAGGAGGGGACGAAGAGATTGGGGGGGAGCGAGCAAGAAGAGGGGAATGGGGGAAGAGAGCGACAGAGAGAGAGAGAGAGAGAGAAAACAAAAACATGAAGCAATAATCAAAGGTTGAGAGAGCGAGAGACAGAGAAGAACACAACTAAAAGGTGACGGAGCCAGAGACAGAGAACATGCGACAGAGAACGATGGAGAGAGGGAGAGAGAGGGAGAGAGGGATAGAGAGAGAGAGATAAAGCAAACGACCCACTTAATCAACCCAGCTGCCTGTAGCGGGTGGTTCGGCTTCTCGCGCAGAGTGCAGGAGGCGCAGCTGCTTGCGGGAGTCAGCAAGTCGTGGAGATGACGGATGACAAAAGAGAGCGTGACAACATGATCATGTGCTGGTGTCCACAGTGAGAGAGATGAGACCACGAGGCAAACATAACTGACATGAACATAATCGGGGCAAGGAATCAGAGAGCGCCAAGAGGATACAGAGGAAGGGGACGAGGGAGACGGTGAGACCTCGGATGGGCAGGATTCAGTGCCCTATTAGTTTACATATGTGTATGGAATGTATTTGTATATAATGTGTGCATAGCTGTATGTAAAAGCATAGCCGCACATACCAGAGTGAGGGGGCCCGAACGGTCATTCACTGTCCTTGGGTGCGTGGCTGAAGTGGGGATCCACGGAGAGGATTCGTGTTGTTGTTTTGTTGCGTCGTCCCCCCTCCACCCCCCCGCTCCGCGACCCGCCCGCGACCCACCCGCGACCCACCCGCGACCCACCCCGCGACCCACCCGCCACCCACCCCGCGACCCACCCGCGCGACCCACCCGCGACCCACCCACGACCCACCCCGCGACCCACCCGAGACCCACCCGCGACCCACCCGCGACCCACCCCACGACCCACCCGCGACCCACCCGCGACCCACCCCGCGCCCGCCCCCTCACTCTTATCCGCAATTGCGGGATGCTACGTAAATGCCGAGGGATGAAGGGCAGAGGGAGAGAGAGAGAGAGAGAGACAGAGAGAGAACAAAAACAATAAGGAAAAAACAAAGGGAGGGATAGCGAGGGAGACGACAGGGATAAAGAGGATGATGATCAGGATCATGAGGGGGAGGAGGAGGGAGGATGGATGAGGACGAGGAGGAAGACTTGAGGGGCGGACAAGAACATCAGGAGGAAGAGGAGGAGGAGGAGGAGGAGGAGGAGGACCCTTCCTGGCAATTGCTGCTAGCGTACCGAACACATTTTCTGGTGCGGGGGGTCAGCGATTCAACAACTGCAGCACTCGTCCAAACTCTGTCAGCAATCGATGGTCGACACAACCCTTCAGGTATATATATAGACCGATGGCGAAATCTGAGCGGCCGAGAAGCGCCAAGATGGTCCTGTATAATCAGCACAGCAAAATCATGATACGTGCGCGTGTGTGAAGTTTCATTACTGCGTGTTTCCGATGGGCAAGTTGGCGGCGTGCACAAGGGGGTGGAGGGAGCGTGGAGGGCTTCTTAAGAGGAGGCGGCTTCGTGAAAGGCGCCGGCCTTACATCTATATATCAGGCCCGCGCCTTCTAAGAATCGGGGGCGCGCAAACATGCATTAGCGATCCATGGATTTGGCGCGCGGTCGCCAAATCCGTGGATCGGGGGAGGTGCCCTCCCCGAAATGCGGCCGGTGCTGCCTCGCTCGGCGGCGACAATCCGCGATTTCCCATGAAAACGGAGCCCGTCGCTAATCCACGCCCCCTTAATCCATGTTTGCGATCGCCTTCTAAGAAGCCCTCTAGGAGGCGAGGAGGGGCTGGAGGAGGAGGAGGAGGAGGAGGATAGGGAGCCCACAAAGGACGTACGCGCCCAGCTATGTACATGAACACGGCCCCTCGATCTGCGAGACCGGCCGCGTGTTACGAACTTTCGGGCAACTCTCGAAACCAGCGTGGATTCATGTACGTGTACGTCCTTCTGTCGCTCCTGAGAGGAGGAGGAGGAGGAGGAGGAGGAGGAGGAGGAGGAGGAGGAGGAGGAGGAGGAGGAGGAGGAGGAGGAGGAGGAGGAGGAGGAGGAGGAGAGAGGAGGAGGAGGGGAGGAGGGGGGGGAGGAGGAGGGGGGAGGAGGAGGAGGAGGAGGAGGAGGGAGGAGGAGGAGGAGGAGGAGGAGGAGGAAGCCCTCCCCCTCCCCCCCCCCACCCCCCCCTCTGCGCGTGGCGGGGTCCGGGCGCCCAGCTTCGCGCTCCCGCAGGCGCTCGCGAGGGGCTTCGGGCTCCCGCGCGGGCCGCCGCCCCCGGGGAGAGAAGAGGAGGACGAGGAGGCACCGGAGGAGGAGGAGGAGGAGGAGGAGGAGGAGGCTGAGGAGGAGGAGGAGGAGGAGGGGGAGGAGGAGGAGGAGGAGGCACCGAGGCCGAATCGCAAACAGCTTCGCGCCCTCGAGCAGAGGGCGGAACATCCACCCCGATGGCAACCACCCCGGCGCGCGAAGCTGTTTCTCAAACGCACCCGGAGAAGGAACCAAACAGGGCGGGGCTGTTTAGGAGACGCCCAGGGCCGTTCAATAACCGCCAAGTGTCGGGTCCGGGTGTTTTTTTTCCTCCCTTGATCGAGGGCGCGCTTGATGTGTCGCGCGGATGTGCACCGTGGTCATTTGCTCGCTCCCCCTCTTGCTCATCGGCCGTGGTCACCCCCGTCGTATTCCCTGTGTCTCCCCCTCGTGAACGCCGTCGTCTTCCGCTTCCTCGTCGACCTCCTCTCGCACCTTCCCCTCCGCCTCCGTCGACGTCTCCGTTCCCCTCCCCCTCCTGAGGCCTCCCCCTTGACTTCCTCCACCTCCTCCTCCACCACCTCCTCCTCCTCCTTCTCCTCCTCCTCTTCCTTCTCCCTCCGCAGTTGTCATGGCAACAGGCTTCAGGCTGCACGAGCGCCCCGCCAGCCTTGGGAGGTGCTCGCAAGCTAGCTGAAGGTGGACGAGCTAGAACGTCAGCTCCGTGACCTACGGAATCGCGGAGCCCGAGCTGCAACGTCAGAGCGCAAACCGCCACTCTGGCCCACCGGGCCGACGCGCTACAGTCGCAGCTCAGCACCACGACCAAGAAGCAGGAGATGCAGCACTAAGTGCTGCACCGCACCATGGTCATCAAAGGGGGGGGGAGTGCCAAACGGAACCGTCGGGCACATGCTAATATGGATAAGGGATCCGTGGATCTGGCGCGTGGATGCCAGGCACGGATCGTGGAACGTGAGCGCCGATGTTGTACAGAAGCGGGGCAAGTCGCTGCTCCACACGCCTTGATCCATATTTGCGTCTCCTCGGCAACGGAACGCCCAGGAAGAAGAGAGGACCGCTCCTCCCTCCCCCTCCTCCCTCCTTGCGTCCCTGCCCCCCCTCCTCGCCCCCCCAAGAGCACCACACAGAAGAACGCCGGGGAGTCGGAGCGGGGCGCGTTGAGTCATCTCGGTGCGTTGACGCCTTGGGAACATGAGGTTGATAGCGCGTCGCGCCGGAGCGAGATGGGCCGGAACGGGGAGCGTGACCTGCTCAGCCAAAATTCCCAACCGCACCGTTGTCTCCCCTGGCCCTCCCTCCTTGGAGGGAGGGAGGTCTGGACCCCAGACGCCGTGCTTTTGGTCACCACGTCGACCCCCAGAGGTCTGTGGACCTCTTGCTCGGGACCGGTTTTTCCCAGCATGGGCCCTTTTTTGACGGTCCCGGGGCCCAGTGAGGAGGGCCCCTGGAGGCCGAAAATAGCGACACACCTCCCGCCGTTATTCCTCCACAGCGCGACGGGGTCTGGGGTGAAGTCGGGCGTGTCCCTCTACAGGAGGAGTACCCAAAACTAGTCAAAAGGCAATCTGGAGACGATGTTTGGCCTACTTTCGAATATTTGTTTTTTTTCTGATGTGCTTAATTTTTCATGAAAAATCCGCCTGTGGGAGGACATGCCCGACCTCAGTCTCGGGGCGCGCCTGGTGCCCGGTGCCGAGCCGGCCGCCTGCCCCATCTGGGGTGCCCAGGAGCACGCGGGCGTGGCCTCAGCGGCCCCCGCGGGGTGGCCAGGCGCGGCGGGGCCGAGCTGGAGGGCAGGGGTCCATCGCCGCTGTCGCCCTTGGTCCATGCCCGGCCCCCTCCTCCTCCTCCTCCTCCGCCTCCTCCTCTCCTCCTCCTCCCTCTCGTCCTCGTCCTCCTCCTTCTCCCTCCCCACTCCTCCTCCTGCTCCTCCCTCCTCCTTCCCCTCCTCCTCCTTCTCCCTCCCCCCTCCCTCCTCCCTCCTCCTCCTCCTCCTCCTCCTCCTCCTCCTCCTCCTCGTCCTCCTCCTCCTCCTCCTCCTCCTCCTCCTCCTCCTCCTCCTCCCGCCTCCTCCTCCTCCTCTTCCCCCCCTAGCTCCTCCGTCCCCCGCTCCTCCCCCCTCGCCCTCTCGCCGCGTCGTCGCCGTCCTTGTCGACGTCGTCGTCCGCGTCCCTGCTGTCCTCCCTCTACGTCGTCGCCGTCGTGGCCTCCCCTTCTCTGCCCCCTGTGCCTGAAGGGGAACTGGGACACACAAATAAATACACACAAATAAAAAGTTTCCTCATGTTTTCCAATATTTTCTGGGTTTTTGTCTCCCCCCCCACTTCCCATATGTTCCCATATTTTCTGGGAATCGCCGATCAATTGTGTCTGTGTGTTTTTTCCCCTCCTGAATGCCATGCTGCTGAGCACGTGTTCGGCTATAGCGAAGAGTTCATTCTCCTTCGTGCGCAGCCAGCACAGACAACTCGCCGAAGTGCGCCCACCGGGTGGTGCGACAGTGGAGGAGGGCGGATGGAGGTGGCGGCGGGCGGCTGTTTTTTGTTGGGCCCCCCGAGTGATGCAACTGATCCTCTCGCTTTCAGTCGCTGCGCAGGAAGACGTGGCTGGCACCGAACCAGCAGAAATCTATACATTCGGCTTGGCACTTGAGCGAGCTGATTGCCACAGGGTGTCTGTCATTCCATTGGACAGGACCTCTCTGGCACGAACTGCTTCAGACGTCCATTCCAAAATGTTGTGTTTTGAACGTTCAGCTTCTGCTGGACGAACCGTCCTAATGATAAGATGAACCAGTGGAGGAAACATGCACGCACACCTTTCTCACAAACTTGGGCAAACCTATCGCGTCAAGATGCATACATCGCCGTGACGGAATTGTTCATCACTCCGAATTCGCCGTGATTGCGAGTCGGCCGAATATGCGGAGTAACATCTACTCCGCGTGGAAGCGCATCCCGTGCAATGAATTGTAATTGCAATTTGGCGCGGAATAGTTCCTGGCCCTTTTTAAACTAACGGGGTACGTCGCCACAAAAAGATCGG